TGACCGGGCGTGACCCGTGGCGTGTAGTAGCGGCTGACACACGTGCGTGTCGCGTGATCACGCGTGACCCGTGCCGTGTAGTAGCGGCTGCCACACGTGCGTGTCGCGTGACCGGGCGTGACCCGTGGCGTGTAGTAGCGGCTGACACACGTGCGTGTCGCGTGATCACGCGTGACCCGTGGCGTGTAGTAGCGGCTGACACACGTGCGTGTCGCGTGATCACGCGTGACCCGTGGCGTGTAGTAGCGGCTGACACACGTGCGTGTCGCGTGATCGAGCCAGAGTAATAGAAGCTTGGGTAACGCCTGTATTATCATAAAATTGTCAGCTGGAATTGCAATGATTCGAACATTTTAGTTCGGGATATCAACTTCAAATGCACGAGTTATTAAAACATTTCGCTTACCAACAACCTAATGACTTCGGAATACATGTCAAGTTCCATATATTACAGATACGATTCGGGGCGACCAAAGGTCACCACCGAGGTCACCACAAATGTCACCACAAAGGTCACCGGTGAGGTTATCACAAGAGTCACCAGCATTGTCACCACAGAGGTCTCCACCGAAGTTACCGGTGATGTCACCACCGAGGTCACTGGCGATGTCACCACCGAGGTCACCGGCGATGTCACCACCGAGGTCACCGGCGATGTCACCACCGAGGTCACCGGTGAGGTCATCGGGACTCTCCGAGAACAAATCGCAGTCGTCGCAGAAGGAGAGCGTGGAGGAGAGACTGCCGCTGCGAGCCCTCACGTCGTCGCAGCCGCCCGTCCCTCACACCATCGACAAAGGTCGCGATGCCACCAGTCACAGTCACAAACACAGGTACCCAACTTCGAACTGACTACGTTCATAGCTTAGAGGTGCCGACGCTGGGGGCAATCATACGTCACCCGTATGTTGACGTGCACTATGACCGTGTGTAAACGTACACTGACCGTGTGCTGACGTACACTGACCGTGTGCTGACGTACACTGACCGTGTGCTGACGTACACTGACCGTGTGCTGACGTACACTGACCGTGTGTTGACGTACACTGACCGTGTGTTGACGTACATTGCAGATTACTCCGTGATTGGATTCACGATGCGCCGAAAGCATTCCAGCCGTACGAGATAGCCGTCACCGTTCACGAGATCTCGCACCACGAGATGACCTCCTACCGCGCCCTACCGCGCGATGACGTCATCGACCGTGACGTCACGCGCCACGAGACGACCTACCGCGGCCTCCTTCACGATGACGTCACCGACCGTGACGTCACGCGTCACGAGACGACTTGCCACCGCAGCCGCCCTCACGATAGCGTCACGGGCCGTGACGTTGCGGTTCACGAATTAAGCACGTCGGCCGCCTACGATGACGTCACGCGCCAGCGCGCGACGCGCTGCAGCCCGGACGGTGAGAGAAGCCCCTACGATGACGTCGTCCGCAGCCGCGACGGCGCGCGTCACGAGCTCGGCGACGTCATCAGGAGCGCCTATGGTGACGTCATCAAAAGCGCCTACGATGATGTCATCCGGCAGAACATCGCGCGCTGCGAGTATGGCCGGACCCGCGGGTCGGCGGACGCCACCGACGCTGCTGTTGCTGACGTCACGCGCCGCCGCCGCAGCTGCAGCCCGCGCGATGACGTCACGTGCGACGACTCGCGGCGGTCGCGACACGGCAGCAACGACGACGACGCGACGCGGCGGCAGTCGACGACCGGCGAGCTGGAGTCGGCGCGGAAGCAGAGCAGGGAAGCCATGTGGGAGATGATGGAGGTGGACGGAGAGAGAGAGAAGCTGCTGAAGGATGCTCACGGGTACCCGCTAGCGTTGACCGACATGCGCGACGTGTACCCGCCCAGCTGGACCTACTCGCTTCCCACCTCCCTGCCGGTGCCCCTCGTCGGCTCCCAAGCCTCCCTCAACCCCCTACTCGCTCCTTACCCATTCTACCCGCCGACGAGTCTCTATCAGGCACCTCTGCCTCTTATCTACCCACACGTGTACTCGCTGACGGAGTCTGAGTACAGACGCGCGATAGAGAGCGTCAACGCGTCTATGTACCGATCTGAAGCGGTGTGCCGAGCGGCGACGCTCGACGATCGCGTGACGGCCGGAGATGACCGAAGTCTGCCGGAGACGGCCGCGAGGAATGTGTGGCGGCCATATTGAAATGGAAGGTAGACGCGTTTGATTCGAAATAATATATATATATATATATATATATACCCATCATATATATATATATATATATATATATAGATATAATATATATATATATATATATATATATATATATATTGATATCTTTGTTTTTACGTGTGCGGCCCCCGGTGAATGAAGTGTGAAGTGCTGTGATGGCCAGAAATACAGGTGAGAGCGCGATCATGAGGGTCAGGATCGCATGATCGAAACACGACGAAACGGACAATACAATGCAATGTGTTAGGGAGCGTGTGGCAAGCTCGCGCGCGCCACTGGTAGTATTAAGCTTGGAGATGTATATTTAATTTAAGTACCGTATTAGTTAGATGTCGAGACGAAGGAGTATCTTCTGAACAAATATCTTATTGTATCTATAGGCGTTTGCTATTGTTATCACGTCATCGTGTGTATTTGCTGTTCATGGCATTACTGCAGGATATCGCGCTGTTTATATACTATATACGAATGACTTATTCCGCTTTTACTTTTTGGTTTCTATAAATGGCGATCGTCTGGCCATGTTAGCGATGCTACTATGCATGGTTTGCGCTTTCCGTGACGTGTTACACATGCGTACTGCGCGCGTCTGGTAGGCACGTGACGTCACGTCGGCTGCGCAGCTTTGCAATTTACTATGACGGAATCTGATTTGTTCACGGAACGAAACATATCGGGCTGTGAGCGGAAACTAGTTGCTTAGTCGTATCGTGACATAAGTTGACATACCGGTGTATGTTTCTTATAGTATCATTAACTTTCATGGTTCGGAATGCAATCTCTAGATAATGCGGGGTGTTTCAGGTACATCATTTCACTTGAGTATTGTGTGCTATCATATAGTATTATATAATATTATATAGTCTTCATGGTTACCGACGCGTTCCGCGTGACGCACACTCGGTTTCGTGTGTCGTTACTCATGTTCTTTTGTTTCATGAGTGGGAAAATTCATAGATCACCTTTCCTATAGGTTAGGTGATTTATATTGTACGGGGAAAATGTTGTTTTCTCCGTTCCGGCATCGTAGAGTTGTAAAGTTGTTGATCTCCGCTCCGACATCGTAGCAGCGTCGAGTTAGCAAAAGGTAGCAGATTGTAGCAAGGAGTAAAGATGATCCAGTCGCCGAATTTGTTGTTGAAGACTGACTTTATTAGTAAACACGATACAAATATATATATATACACTACGGCGACCTAGGCACCCAAGTATAGGCCCCGTGTCTCGTCTTCGTCCGCTACATCTTGATAGGAATGACCATGTAATAACTCACGTATGATCTGGGTAATGACTCACGTACGTCTCCTGGGTAGGTAACCTTCTGATCTTTCGTCCGTGTCTATTTATATGTTTCCGAAACCGTCCGGCGACATTTAAATCCGAATCCCGGCCAATAACCGTCTGGGTCTATGGGGTTAGGGTGCGCGCGGTGGGTTACATTACAATAACAACAATAACTTGCTAGGAAGAACTTGTTAGAAGTTTAGACAATTAGTCGCAAAGCCCTAATTAGCCCGCAGCCCTACGATACAACACTTATATAGGTTATATATTCAGCAGGCCTACGCGTGTGTTTGTTATAGTCTCACAGCAAGAAAACATGTACTGCGGAAAAATCGAACCAGTTGTTTATATATAAATATACATATTATATAATAATTAAATCGTTAATGTGCAGTGCGATCGAAAGAGCTCTACGGTTGTTGGTCAGGTTGAAACTGTTGTCTGTGTAGAGAGCGGATGAAGGGTACGCACACAACTAGCAGAGAGAGGTCACCAGCGCCTCTTTCGTGTGTGTGTGCGTGCGTGTGCGTGTGCGTGTGTGCGCTTGTGTGTGTGTGTGTGTGTGTGTGTG